CCGAGCCTCCCGCCCCGCGGAGCGGAGCGACACGCCATCCGCTCGCAGGACACGGCGTGGTCGCAAGGGCCGCCGCGGCGGCACGCCAGGCAAGCAGAGGCGCCCAAGCGTGAGGTGCTGGCTCGGGGCCGCGGATCGCCGACGGGGGCCCAGCCCGCCCTCCGGGCAGTGCGGGCTCGCCATCGTGCGCCAGACCTCCTGGAGGTGGCAGAAAGATGTGGAACCCGTGGCTCGGGTTCCCAAGCTTGGGCTCGCGCGCGAGCTTGGACGTAAGGCTTCCTGCGCCAGCGACGCCTTCTTCCAAGATTGGACCAACGCACGGGCTTGGACGTCGGGGTCTCCGCTCCAGCGACGCCTTGTGCCAAGCTTGGGCGCACGTGAGTCCCCGACCGTACGCTTGGCGTCCCCGACGAGGCAGACCTCCCGTAGATGGACCAAACAAGTGGAACCCTTGGCGGTCCCCCCTTCCCCCCTGTGTTCAAAGCTGACCCTGGGCATTGGGGAGCAGAGGCTCGAATGGACAAAGAACGAGTGGAACCCCCAGGGCCTCCAACAGGCTGGAATCGCCAGCTTTGCCAGTGTGGAAGGGAGGGGGCGAACACGGGGTCGACAACAAAAGGGTTCCACTTGTTTGTCCCCTTGCTGTCCCCTGTCGTTCCCTCTGACTTCTGTCCCCCCGTCCCCGGGTCACGACGGCTGCAGGACCGTCTCGGACCGATCGGGCCCGTTTCTTGCGATCGAGCCGGATCGCTCATCCGGGCTCCAGTTTCCGACTCGAGTTCCATGCGGGCGCCAGTTTTCGATCTCCGAGCCGCCGCGGCGCACGCCGACTTGCACCCGGCTCCAACAGATGCGACGACACGCTGATTTCGATCCGGTGTTCCGATCTGCTGCTGGCCTTTGCTGAAAAACATCTTCGACTGTGGAGGCGGGAGCTCTGATTTTGTGTTGCTTGTGGCACTGCGATGCCTTCGCGATGGCGAAAGTATGGGACTTTGTTCTCCATCTCCCCATTCCGCACCCCCTTTCGATTCTTTCATCCACCACTTGCTGCTGCTGCGCCTCCCAATGATCATTCGCCTCCAACTCCTCCGCATCGTCATCATCCTCTGCCCACCCAGCCTCTTATTTCTCTGACTCATCCTCGTCATCATCATCCTCGTCGTCCCCCTCACATTCACCTTCCTCTGCGGCCATCGGCTCAAGGTCTTCTCATGATTTTACCAGCCCTTGGGCACTCGTGGTATCTCAACTTGCGTCCAGTGTATTACTGCCAGCGCTGTGCCTTGCCGCATTGTTGGTCCAAAGGTATCGATAATGATATGTTTGATTCTGACCGTTTTTCCCCTCGGTACTTGTCAGACCGTTCAACTGCCTTGCGTTGTAAGCGCTTGCCCAGCAGAGCTGTCATGGCGGCGAAGTCCTTCAACACTGACTAGCCACACGTGTGACTTCCAATGCATTTATCATGTAATTATTGCTCCGAACGGTGACTTCCATACTGGTCGGAAAGGTTCATGGTGGACAGTAGAGTATTTCTCAGCTTGTGCATTGGCATTTCCGACTACCACGTGCGACTCTACAGTATTCGAAGTCGCCCTTTGCCAACATGGTCCGCGTCAGCCCATATTGTGAAGCTCCAGCTGATGACACTCTGCCATTCCGCAATCCAGGTGCACGATGAACAGTACCAGGATTGTTGGGAACAGGCCGTACCAAACAATTAGCTCGAATTGTCAGCAACGTCATTAGAATTGGATGTGTGCTTGGCCTTCTTGGTCTTGAAACGCTTGGCATTCGCTTGTTGCTCGACAGCCCAAAACTTGCTGGCGTCCCTGGCTGAACTGGATGGTGTTGTGGCCGCATGCCAGGTGCCACAGGTCTTCGCGTAGTAGAACTCCTCTCCTCACCCTCACCTTCCTCATCTGCACCATCCGTGTGCGTATCCGTATTATCACGATCCTGCTCCTTGCCCCTCTTCCTCATCATCGTCATCGTGATGCCCATCATTTTACTCCCGCCTGGACATGCTTGCGGGCAACGAGGTCCAGACCCATGATACGTTGCTGGCATCTAGGTATTTCCTGATCTGCGGCCGTCGTCTGCGCCTGCAGTTTTCAGCGAGCAGAGACAACCCACAACTAACAGGAGATAAGCTCTCACGGTGACCATTTTCAGCCCTTGAGGAGGTGCCCACGGCATCTGCCGAGGTGGCTATTAGTCCCTCGCTCGGCCATGCGGGTCGCTGCAGTGAGCATGGAAGTCTTCAATGCGAGGCGCCCTCAAAGCGGTTCGTCATTGAATCTTCAGGTGCATTATTTTCAGCCGATCAACTTACGCAGACATTTGCCCTGAACTTCCAGCTCGGCCCAGGACATCGGAGCCAGTCCGCTTCGACCATTCAGGCACTCGCACTGCGGCACCGTACATCGGGCCAAACAACAGACGCGAACAGATGGCGAAATAAGAAACGCTGTGGCGGATTCGCAATGTGCTCATATAATGTCTTTGCCAGGAAGGTGGGGCAACATGTTGAATTCTGCGTATACCACTGGCTTCAACAACGCTTGTGCGGATGTTCCTGAATGCAGTGGATACATGTCAGGCTTTCTTTCAGATGGGGGCGGCTCTCTTACGAAAACGCTACCTATTCTGAGGGAGGCGGACACTCTGGCCCTTGGTAGTATTACGGCGAAGCTCGTGCGTTGGAGTGGATAGCTCAATGCTGGACAAAGTCGAAACACAGGCTACGTCCTGGACTCCCAGTTCGCTTTGTCTTAGTTTCGTCGGCGGTCGCAACATGATTGGCATCCGACGACTCGTGGCACCCGTACCTAGTCCAGTCGCCCCCTGCCACAGGCCCCCCTCACATTGCTTGCATGGCCACACTTGGTTGACAGGTTGGTTGGTGTTCTTGTCATTCTGGCTGGCTGGCACTCGACGGATTGTTCTTCAATCAGTGCATGCCCTCAGGGGTTCTTACTTCGGAACTGGGCCGGGCGGGCGGTGCACGTCGTCGACGTCATCGTGGGCGAGCCGGTCGGTCTGGCCGGCGGAGCACGTCGTCGTTGTTGTCGTCGGCGTTGCCGTCGTCGTCGCCGTAGTGGTCCTCGTGGTCCGGTCGTCGCCGTCGTCGTCGCTGTCGTCGTCGTCCCCTGCCGGAGCCAGGGGGGGCGCTGGCGCAAGAGGGGGTTCACCCTCCCCCACCGACTTTCTGGAGAGGGGGGGGTTCGACCCCCCCCTTGACCTCCGCCCAGCGTAGTACTGAAAAGACGCTCTTGTGGAAAGTCGAATCATAATCTCTTGATGATGAAGCAACTGTCTGACAGTCAATGGAGCGTGAGTTGTAGAGGACGATCAAGACGATCACATCGGAGGAGGGGGAGGACGCGGATGAGGAGGACGTGCAGGATTGGAGAGGATAGTGATGATGTGGAGGACGGAAGAAATGGTAGAGCAGGGGGAGAGGGAGGGGCAGTCCTCCAAGCCAGGGAAGGAGGAGGAGGAGGAGGAGGAGGAGGAGGAGGAGGAGGAGGAGGAGGAGGAGGAGGAGGAAGAGGAAGAGGAGGAGGAGAAGGAGGAGAAGGACGAGGAGGAGTAGGAGGAGGAGGGAGGAGGCGTGCGGGGTGCGATGTGGAGCAGGAGGAGGAGGACGAGGAGGAGGAAGAGGAGGGCGAGCTCATCCGTGCACTCCCCCTCCTTCTTCCTTTCTTCCCGCTTCTTCCCGCGCGTGCTCCGCCCGCCTCTCGTCCCGAGCAGCCGGACGGCTAACCGCTGGCGGCTCGCTGCCCCCCCCACAGGAAGTTCTGGTTCGCGAGCGCGTCACCCTGGCACGGATCTCCGACCGACGGCTGGGCTTCCCGAGCAGCACACGGCGCGGCGTCGGGCCCAGGGCGGCAGGCGGAGGCGGCGGGCCTTCTCGGGCGGCCTCGGGCCTTTGAGAGGCTCCTCCTGCTGCTCCTGCTCCTCCTCCTCCTCCTCCTTCTAGTCCCCGTCCTCCTCCTCCTCCTCCTCCTCCTCCTCTTCCTCCTCCTCCCCCTCCTCCTCCCCTCCTCCTCCTCCTCCTCCTCCAGCTCCTCCTCCTCCTCCTCCTCCTCCTCCTCTTCCTCGTCCTCATCCTCCAACTCCTCCTCCTCCTCCCCCCTCCTCCCCCTCCTCCCCATCCTCCTCCCCATTCTCCACCTCCTCCTCCTCCTCCTCCTCCTCCTCCTCTCCTCCTCCTCCTCCTCCTCCTCCTCCTCCTCCCCCTCTCCTCCTCCTCCTCCTCCTCCTCCTCCTCCTCCCCTCCTCCTCCTCCTCCTCCCTCTCCTCCTCGTCCTCCTCCTCTCTTCCTCCTCCTCCTCTTCCTCCTCCTCCTCCTCCTCCTCCTCCTCCTCCTCCTCCTCCCCCTCCTCCTCCTCCTCCTCCTCCTCCTCCTCCTCCTCCTCCTCCTTCTCCTCCTCCTCTCCCTCTGAGCCCTCTCCGAAGACGCAGAGGGCTCCCCAGAAGGCCGCGCCGCCTCCTCAGAAGGCCTGCCCCCTCCCATCGGTTCTCCCTGGGTTCGCCGCCGACTGGGAGCTCTAGTCTTCTAGGCGACGCACACCCGTTCGAGCAGCGGGTCTCATGCAACTCCTCGCGCAGATGGCCGAGGCAGTGGTTTGACGGGCGGTAGACGCGGTGAGACACACCGAATGAGCCGCACGACGAAGCCAGTGCAGATGGCGAAGCATATAAGCGATGCGCTCGACAGTGTGGCACGCATGGGTCACGAGGAAGAAAGGGGACGGCAAGCAAGATGAGGAGAGCCAGCAGGAGGATGTGCGTGTGGGGAGTGCTCCCCAGGCCGGAGCACTGATGCCACGATCACCGCAATTTGCAACGGGGGGCTGGCCTGCCCCCGCTTGCCTTAGTTTGCGCCGTTCTACAGCAGTCACGCCAGCTGCGATGACACAAGGGACCGGCCTGCCCCCACACCCCCACCGCGCTTTGCATCTTTAGCTTTGCTTCTAGCTAGCCTTGCGGCTCGGCTTTTGCACGTGCGCATGCAATGGCCGAACTTCGCCATCTTCATGCCCGCTACGTTTCCTCTGTGCATGCGATTGCCCCCTCCAGTCCACCCACCTGCTGCGCCAGGTGCAAAATCGCCCAAGCGTGTCTCAGCTCATTGCCTCGCGACGGTGCCGTCAGCTCGCCGCTGCAGAACAGAAGGCTGTGCGGGGGAAGCGGTGGGGGTGTGGGAGCAGAGAGTTTCAGGAAGGTGGTGGTGGAATAGAAAGACTGCGGGATGACGCGAGCGTGAGAAGCGCAAGCGCGATAGGCGACGAACCAGGGGACGCGTCCTCCAGGATGGGCATTCCCATCACGCACGCGGCCATGGTCCTGGGCCTAGGGGCGGCCTCTGCTTCCTGCCCGCAGGGGCCAGATCGGACCGCAGGGGGCGATGAGGAGGAGGAGGAGGAGGAGGAGAAGGAGGAGGAGGAGCAGGAGCAGGAGCAGGAGCAGGAGCAGGAGCAGGAGCAGGAGCAAAGCAAAGAACTATCGGACCCGATGCCCTCCCTCACTACGAGACAAAGCAAGTTTGGATCTAAGTGGCTGCAGGAGCAGACTTCCCACAGAGAGGGCCCTGCTGGCGAGGAAAACGCACTAGCCTGGAGACGGCCCCAGTAGAGGACCTGCCCAGTGGGCGGGTCATGACACCGCCCCTCCCCACGTCAGAGCCCCCGCGGGACACCAGGCAGGCCCCCTCGGGCCCACCCCTCTCGACCTCCGACTCGCGGGCTTCGCACGAGCCCGAGCCACAAACATACCACGACTGTCATGAGCACTCCCCCTCTAGAGCAGTCACATCGGAGATGGCCGAACCCGCAACCACGGGAACTCCAGAGGCTCCGGTTCCCCGCCCCCTCCGAGAGGTTAGGGAAGTGCGCCACGACGCTGCAGCTCCAGATGCCGCCCACTACCACGAGACGCAGGCGAAGGACGGGGCCTTCCCGAAGGCCTCGCCGACGTCGAAGTAGCAGCAGCACCAGAACCTCCAGCAAGCACAGTTGTAGAACTCACTGTAACGTCATGTTCCACATCCAGCGCAGAGATATGATTCACGGTGCCACCATCTTCTGGACGAGTCTCTTTCAAACCAGTCCCACAAAAAAGGCAACGTCACTTGTGCACCTGCTAGACCAGAGCACTGCACAACATCATCAATATCCCATGAACCAGAACTCTGAACAACATCAGTGACCATCTGCAGAGCTACGGAACTCTCTCTCAACACCAAGAGCCATACCAGAATAGTGTGCTTGGCTAGCGTACACCCAGGGAACCACACGCTTTTCATCATACGCCATCCTCTTCCCGTCTGATGTACTAGCCCCAGCTCGTGATTCAGATCCACACCCAAGATCGGAGCGGCTCTAGCAGGCAACTCGCACAGCTCAGCAGTGCACCACGCCTCTTCAGCCGATCCCACGTCAGTTGATAGTATGCCATCGAAACCAGATCCCGTGGACGAGGGGGATAGCATGAGGCCATGCATATGATGTCCCGGAGACCCGTTTTGATCCGAACAAGCAGACCTCGATGTTCGAGTGCCAGAGGGGATAACGCAGCTCGAGCAATGTGGGCATCCCGAAGCTGCCGGCCCAGAACAACAGACATATCTGCATAAATTGTGACATATACACCTTAGGCGATGGTTAAGAAAACCCAAGTTTTCGGCCAGAGTCTCGATTATTCTTAATGTTTCAATGTAAATCCTAAGATTCGAATGGAAATTTTGGGTTTTTATTCAAGTTCTGAGACTCTGAATTTCTTAACCCATGATTTCTTAAGCATTTCGCAGGGTGTACGACGGCACATCTCCTCCAACCTATGATCGCTGTTCGTGCGGAGGGGCTCGTAGCTGCTTTCGACCAGTAGGTACATGGCAGAATGGCCAGCAGCCTTTAGGCAGTAGAAGCATGGAAAGACTCATGCAAACTGTGAGCGAGCTACATTCTACATACAACGTCCCGCTGCTGGGCAACCGAGGAGCCGAGTGACTGGAGGAGCAGGAGGTGGGGGAGGACCACGAGGGAGAAGGAGAGGGGCGTAACATGAGGGGGGGAAGGAGAGGGGCGATGGGACAAGGAGGATGAGAAGGGGGGATCAGGAGGAGGAGGAGGAGGAGGAGGAGGAGGAGGAGGAGGAAGAGGAGGAGAAGGAGGAGGAGGAGGGAGAGGGGAGAGGGGAACGTGGGACGTGGGAGGAGAGGAGGAGGAGGAGGAGGAGGAGGAGGAGGAGGAGGAGGAGGAGGAGGAGGAGGAGGAGGAGGAGGCTGAAGGCTGAAGGCTGAAGGCTGAAGGCATGCAGCCTGGTCACTACCAGATTGCGCCACGCAGGGCGGCCTCTGCTCTGCGCCTGGCCGAGGGAAACGCCCGGCTCCCAGAGGCCAGGACCGGGCCGCGGGCCGGCGTGCCAAGCAGGGGCACCGCGGCCCTCTTCCAGGCCCCACACTGAGCCGAAGGGCAGACACCCCACCTTCCCAAGCCGAGTCCGAGTCCAACGGTGGCGACGCTGAAGCACCGATCGGCGCGCGCCCTCGCCCCCCTCCCCCCCCCATGGAGAGGATCTTGGCTGTTTTTGGCGCCTGTTTACGTGCAGATGGCGTCTCCCCCGGGACGCATTGTTGCAAACAGTCGCAACATAAGCAGAGGTCCGGAGCCAGACTCCCCCCCTCTTCCCCCCCCTCCGCACAGTGTCGAAACGCCGAATATGAAAACACTCGCAAGCCGAATAGAGAGCTAGGCCACCTTTGGGCCTGGCCGCGGGCCGGGAGCCAACCAGGAGCACCACGGTTCTACCCCCTGGCCCGTCCAGGCCAGGGGGTAGAGCCCCAGACTTCCAAGCCGAGTCCAAGCGTGGTGACGCTCAAGCACCCGGCCGACAAAAGATCACTTGACGGAGACATCGGCGGCCCGCTCAGAAGCCCTCTTGGTCGAGCTCGCCGCCTGATTGCGCTTCTGCCTGGCCTTCTTAGCCTGGGCCGCTTGCAGCCAGCCCTGCAAGGCAGCAGCAAGCTCGTTCAAGGCTTCGATGGCAGCATCTGGGGCGGCCGCCTGGCGCTGCCTGCGCCGAGCAGCAGCCACCTTGTCCTTGCCGCTGCGCTTGGCAATACATCGGCGATATGTCACTCAGCCTCTCCTCCATTACGCAGCCTTTCCAGCATCTTTCCGCAGGTGTCCGTGAAGCCCGTCTTGCCGACTCCATCGGGATCCCTTTTGATGCCCAGCAGCACTTGCACCGCGAGGTCCTCTGGGCCGTCTCTGCAGCCGGTTGGCCCCCGTGTCCGTCCTTGTCGCTACCGTCGACATTGGGTCACCACTTCTTGTCAGAGCTTGCGGCATATAGCCCCATCCAGCCTTGCAACTTGCCGTAGGAGCGGTCGCACCCGAATTATTGTCGGCGCTCGAAGCGGCACCGGCGAGGGCTGGAACCTCGGGCAGCGCCGGCGGCGCTGTGAAGTCCCGGACACACCCTCCTGGATAGATACCGTTAAATCGGACTTGTCCCTCTACCGGGGGGACATTCAAGAATAGTAGAGAAATTGTCAGCGGACGATTTTTCTATTATTTGAAAAAGCAAGTTTGTTTTTTTGTATTTTTTTTTTGCCCAAAATCCCCCCTCTAGGGGGACAGGCCTGACCTAAGGATACCGCTGCCGTCGCCGTTGTCGTGCACCTGGTGGCTCTCCAGCTCCGCGACGAAGGCCTCGCAGCCCCCAGTCTCCCCCACGGCGGGCGCGTCGACGGAGCTCTTTTGCTCGAGCACTGGCATGCCAGAGCTGGGGCTAAGTCGGGCCTGTCCCCCTGCAGGCGGGATGCTGAAGAATATTCACAAACATAGTCTGGGGACGATTTTCGATTGTCTTTGGTAGGGAACCGAACTCTATACACACCGACGCATTTTCCAGCCCTGCACTGAAACTCGCACAGGAAAGCGGATCCTGGTGTATACGGGATGTTGGCGTATACATGTTCGTCATTTCCCCCAGGAAAACGGGGAAACAACTATACACCACACCACCCCGACGTCGTCCCTGACCCTCAAAAAGTCCAGGGACTGAAAAACAGCAAGCCGCTGGTAATGTATATGTTCCAGTTTCCGATTTGGAATATTTAAGCATGTTTCCAAACTATGTATTCATTTTTCTTTTAAGATCCGCCTGTAGGAGAACATGCCCGACCTAAAGCTGGGGACTGCGTGCGGGGCCTCCTCGGCCACGCAGGCCTCGGGCACCAGCACCTCCTAGCGCGTCAAGCGTCCCCCTCGCAGCGCGTCGAGCGTCCCCCATCGACGCTGCATTGGCGATGCGGCGCGATCCTCCGACCCCATCCACTCCGACCCCATCTAGGAGGCCTCTAGCGTCGGCGCTCACCAGCGTGGCTCGGCCGCTCCCTGTGTGCCGCTTCGAAGTACGTTTGAAGTCGGGCCTGTCCCCCTACAGGAGGAACTGTTCAAAGATAAACTAGTCTGAATACTATTATTTGACATGTTTTGAATATTTGTTGAACATGTTTGGAATATTGTTTATTTTCCATCCAAAATCCGCCAGTAGGGGGACATGCCCGACCTAAAAGTACGCCGACTGCCCCGCACAGACTGCACGACAGGGGTTGCTAGGAGCACGCTGTGTGAGGTGCACGCTGGCCGACGCTGATATGCTTCTCCCCTGCCGCCCCCCCCTCCCAGACGTGTCGGTGCGTCAGGCCGGGTGTTTCGCCTGAGACTTCCTCACGATCGATGATCCTGAAGCATGGCCTGTGGGATATCGTTTTCAAGGATGCAGGGCGGATGGCTTCAAGCTTTCTCTCTCGCGTTGGCGCCGCGCACGCTCGTCCTAACAGGTCGTAGCACTTCGAGGACGGAGGGCGGCTGACGCGCTTTGGGCTTGCACTGGTCCTCCTCCTCCTTCTCCTCTTCCTCCTCGTCCTCCTCGCCCCCCTCCTTACATCAGTCCTCTACACCTTCGCTTCCTCCGCTCTTCCGCCTCCTCTGCTCCCTCGCCTCCTCTTGTCCCTGCCCCCCCCCCGGCGCTGTGGCCCAGGGCGCCAGTTGCAGGCGCGCGGTGGGGGGGCGGGGCGCCCCCCGCACCCTGGAGGCGGGCCTCGCAGCCTGAGGCGGCGCCCCTCCTCGGGGCCGGCCTCTGGGCCCTGGCGGCGGCCATGGAGTCCATCCGGCGGTTCGAGTCGGAGAGGAGGGCGTGGGAGGCCATGCGCGAGGACGCGCGCGCGGGGGGTGGAGCGGGGGAGCAGGAGGGGGAGCCCAAGACCCATCCACGATGTTAGAATACCCCTTCCCTCCCTCCAAGCTCCCCTGGTCATAGGCCCCACACCAGGGTCCATGTCCACTGGGGGAGGTGCTCCGTAGGGGGGACACACTTGTGAAAACCCTGCAGCGTGCCAAAACATTCTCAGGAGCCCAGCGCCACGAGCTAACCTGACTGGCACGTCTTGGCGCTCCTGAGTCTTGCCAGAATGCCATTCCTGGGACTTCAACACCGGGAATCAGCTTAACTGTTGCGCCTTGGCACCCTTGAATCGCGCCAGATCATAATTCTGGTACGTTGACAATGAGAATACATGAGATTATTGCGAATGTTTCCAACAAGTGTGCGCGGCGCTAAGGCCAGAGCCACATGATGAGAGCGACCCGCACTCAGTCCGTGAAGCTCTCGCAACTGTCTAAAACGAATGTGCGCGGCGCTGAGGCAAGAGCCACATGTTGGAAACGGCCCGCCCTCAACCCGTGACACGCTTGCAACTGTTTACAATGAATGTGCGCGGCGCTGAGGCGAGAGCCACATGTTGAAAAAACGACTCGCCCTCAATCCGTGAAGTTCTTGCAAATTTCTGAAGCGAATGCGCGCGGCGCTAAGGCGAGAGCCACAGTTTGGAAACGGCCCGTCCTCAATCCGTGAGACGCTTGCAACTGTCTGAAACGAATGTGCGCGGCGCCAAGGCAAGAGCCACATGTCGAAAAGGACCCGCCCCCCCATCTGTGAAACTGCCGCGGAGGAGGAGGAGGAGGAGGAGGAGGAGGAGGAGGAGGAGGGGGAGGAGGAGGAGGAGGAGGAGGAGGAGGAGGAGGAGGAGGACCAGAGGAAGCTCCAGATGCTTGCTGCTTGAGCGCTGCTGCAAGGCGCGTCGGAGGAGGGCGCGTCGAGACAACCGTAGTTGGCCTTCGGGGTGCCCCTCGTGGTCCCCTCCCTTGATAGGTCCTTGTCGTTTGTCACTCGGGGGGGGGAGGCGCCCAATTAGGAGACAGTGGGCCTTTTGATTCGGACAGGATCTCCATCAGGAAGAACGGGACTTGCCTTCATCTTCCGAGCTGCACAGGATGCGGCAAGGTGGGAACACACAGTTAGAATTCGAGCCCAGAGAGAGCTCCGCCTTGAGAAGCATCCGCCCTTCATCCGTGTAAATTGCCGACGCGCGGACTTTGATTTGTGGCGGACAAGTATGAAGAAGTATGTTGAGGCGGGAGCCCTTGTTTCGCAAGGACCCACATTCGACGCGTGTAGCTGGTGCACTCAGCTTTGACTGCGAGTGATCTGCTTGGGCGAGGTTGCACGCCCCAGTTTCAAAGAAGAGCGTGTAACTGTTGGGCCGTATTTCAACGAGCACTCGCAGCGCCACAGCGACAGCCACATGTTGAAATCCACTTGCCTTCAATCCGTCTAATAGCTGGATTTGGTTACGGCGAGTGTGCGCGGCGCCACGACGAGAGCCACAGTTTGAACACCATGTGCCCTCCATCCTCCATCTATGCAGCTGCTTGAGTTTGTTAAGGCGAGCATGTACAGCACCACTGCGAGCGCCCCATGTTGAACACGTTTCGCCGTCCATCCGTCCAGCAGTTAGCAATTTCAAGCTTCAACATCGCAAACGGTGAGAAAGACTCAGTCGAAACGCCTGACCCGCCCTAACGACGCGCATGATGGTGGGACGGGGGGGAGTTCTGAACAGGAAACTAGATGGAGGAGAAAGATGCGGAGGATCAGGTATATGAGGAGGCGGAGGCGGAGGAGGAGGAGGAGGAGGAGGAGGAGGAGGAGGATAATCTGTTTTCCATTCGAACGTGTTTTGGCATTTTCGGCAGACCTCGCCGGTATAGATTAACGTTTGACGGTGGTTTCCGTCTACGGAGGCGATTGGTGGATTGCAGAGGTTTATGATGGCATCCGCAGGGGAGGACGAAGTGGACGAGGAAGAGGATGGAGACGCAGGAGGAGGAGAAGATAGAGGAAAAATGAGCGCAGGGGGCTTGGGAGGATGGGCAATGGGTGGGGACGAATCAGAAAACAGAAGAGGGTTAAGAGTAGGACGAAGGACACTCAGAAACAAGAGATGGCAGGAATAATGGGTAGGATAAGGGGTAGTACTTGTAGTCGGATAGTGATGATGCTGCTGATGGTGATGCTGCTGCTGATGATAATGATGATGATGATGATGATGATGATGATGATGATGATGATGATGATGATGATGATGATGATGATGATGATGATGATGAGGGGCCCGAGGAGGCCAGGAGGAGGAGGAGGGGAAGGAGTAGAGGAACCAGGAGGGGGAGGAGGAACAAGAGAGGAAGTATGACTATGATGATGCGGTTGATCATGCAGATCATGAGGTGGATTATGATAATCATGATGGCAATGATGATGGTGATGATTCAGAAGAAGATGATTGTGCTTCTGCTTAGGGTGATGATGATGCTACTGGTGTTGGTGGTCATCAGGATTATAATTCAGCTGTAACTGCTGATGGTATCATGGTGTCAATGATAGCGATGCTGGCGATGAAGCTGATGCTGCTGCTGCTGCTGCCCAGGATGATGGTGGTGGATATGGTGCTGGTGGTGGCGATGATGCTCAGGAGAGGGATGAGGAGGAAGACTGGTCATGCAAGCACATGTGGTTGACGACGCCAGGGCGAGCAAAAGGATCATAACCGAATAGTAATATGAGGACGAGTGCGAGGAGGAAGACCAGATCAGGATGAGGGGGGGGAGGAGGAGGAGGAGGAGGAGGAGGAGGAGGAGGAGGAGGAGGAGGCGGAGGAGGAGGAGGAGGAGAAGGAGGACCAGCAGGAGAGCGAGGGAGCTGGAGCCGGAGCAGCAGCTGCATCGGGGGAGGCTGCCGAGCCTGCGAGGACCTGGAGCGGAGGGTGCGAGAGGCGGATGAGCACCGGGAGGCGTTGGAGGCCGAGAAGTGGGACGCGGAGCACCGCCTCGGGCAGCTGACCATGGAGGTGGACGCCCTCCGGCGCGCGGGCGCCGCACCGCCGCGGCCGCGTCCCGATCCCGCGCGCGGGAGCCGGCCGGAGCCCACTGCCGCCGCCGAGGAGCTCCGGGACGAGCTGCTCCAGGCCACGGACGCCGCCGCCGACGCCGGCGTCGGCGTCGCTGCGTCCGCTGAGGAGGAGGAGAAGAAGGAGGAGGGGGAGGATCTGGCTTGGATTTCGCTTGCCTGATCCTCTCAGCCGTGAGCATGGCAGAGACAACAAAAACGAGCCTGCCTGAGGAAGAGGAGGAGGAGGAGGAGGAGGAGCAGGAGGAGGTCTGGGTTCGATCGTGCCAGCGAGCGGCGGCGTCGCCTTCGCCGGGAGGCCCGGGAGCGCGCCGCTGCGGCCGAGCGGGGCCGCGGGGCGCTGCAGGCCGAGCTGGACCGCCTGCGGTGGGCGGAGGCCGCCGCCGCGGCCGCGGGCCCGCCCGGCAGCGCGCGGCTGCGGGGCGAGCTGCTCGAGGCTCGGACCTTCAGACCCGGATCCCCTCGAGGAAGGGACAGGTCACGACGGGAGGTGTTTCCCCACTCGTGGCCCCTGGGGGCCCTTACCAGGCATCGGGACCATCAAAAAACGACTCGGGATGAAAAATCGGTCCCGGGGAATGGGTCGAGACCTCGGGGGGTCGACGTGATGATAAAATCATGACCTCGGGGGTCTGGGAGGTGGGGTCGGAGTAGATGGGGTCGGAGGATCGCGCCGCATCGCCAGTGCATCGCCTGTGCGGCTCGATGTGGAGCCCGTGTTTCTCCACGCCGACATCGCCGATGCATCGCCAATGCATCGGCGATACGGCGCGATCCTCCGACCTCATCTATCCGACCTCATCTGGGAGGCCTCCATGACGTGAGCCCAGCAGATCGGGGAGCAAACGATGACATAAACACTAAAACTCGGAGGTCCGCATGGATTCTTCGGCTCGGCGCTGGGGTCCCCGTCCCGCGTCTCCGGCGCCGCCACTTGCGCGCTCTTCGCGCCAGGGAGAGGTTCCAGCGGAGATCCAAGGAATCCGCGTGGATTGTCAAAAGTTTGTGTTTATGCAGTCTTTGCTCTCCTCTACCAAGACATTCGATGTGCTCAAATGACCCCAGGAAGGCACCCTGACATAGCAGCAATGGATGCACGCGGAACATGTGGCGAGAGTTTGGCCATGTGTATTTTATGGCGCCTGTTTTTTTACAAGGTCTCGTTGCCGTCTGGAACAACAGTGCGGCATGGAGGCGAGAGCACGATTCTTGAGTAAATTGTGAGGAAGTCTCGGGCGAAATGAAATGGCTGCTGGACCGGGCGGTCTAGGACTCCCCGTCTCTCCATTGGGGGTTTCTGTCGTTTTGCTTTTCCACTGCGCGAACCCTCGACCGAAACCCGATTTTTTGAAACATCTGGACGGAGGTTTCTCGCCGTCTGCGGTCTCTGGGGGCCCCTGCTGGGCCCCGAGGCTGGCAGGAGCCGACTCGGGACGAGAAGCCGTCCCGAGGACGGGGTCGGGTCGGGACTTGGGGGCCCGAGCTTGAGCCACCGAGGTGCTCTGCGGAGGGGGGCGAGGGTCGAGGTGTCGGGACGACTTTGGCCAGTGCTCAGGGTTTCTCAGAGACCTCCGGGGAAGGGCGGGGGGTGGGCGAGGCGAGCGGTGCTCACAGCGCAGCCAGTCTGCCTCGCCATCCCGCTTCAGTCCAGCACTCGCGACCCCGTGTGCCCTCCGTCCGCAGCTGGCGTTCCGTGCGGTGTTGGTCGGTGCTGCTCCTCAGACGGGAGGGGCAGCCTTGCCCCTCGCAAGAGGCGCGGCGCGAGCTGGAGCAGAGGCAGAGGGACGCGATCGGCTTGGAGGATGACCTGCTGAGGCTTCGGGAGCAGCTGAACGCCGAGAAGGAGAAGGTGCTCGAGCTGAAGAGGGCCGCCCAGAGCCGGAGGGCAGCCTGGCAGGATCTCCAAGAAGAGTGCTCAACGACTTTGCTCCGACCTTCTTGCGGGGAGGGGGATCGAGGCAGGCCAGTCGAGGCAAGTACGGATAGATCTAGGTAAACTCAGAAACAAATCCCGGTAAGTCCAGAGGTCTCCCGGAAGTCTGGAGCAAACCGTGGACGCTTCTACCGCGAGCCGAGGGTCGCGAAAAACATGGCGTTTAGCTTACTGTGGCCCTCTGTGGCGCCGAGGCCGGGTGCAGTAGCGTCGCTCCCATCCCTCCTTCTCAACCTCTTCCCAGCTCTCTGCACGTGGTGCTGCACAAAGCGCCCAAAGCGAGCACAGGTCGCGAAGCCCTCCTCGGCAGGAGGAGCTCGGAAAGATCACGGACGAGCTCGGCGCCGCCGAGCGGCTGCAGGGGGAGGTCGACAGCCTGCGGGCCGACTCCGCACGCTGGCGCAGGGCGCTGGAGCGGGCCAATGGGCGGGCGGAGGCGCTGCAGAGCGAGCTGCGGCAGGCGAGGGCGGGGCAGTCCGGGGCCGGCGAGCTCGCCCTGCAGGAGTGGTCTCGGGGGCGGGGGGGGGGGGGATCTCGTGGCGGGGGCCATGGCATCTCCCCAAGCACCCTTCTTATTCCAATGCGTCCCTGGCTCCCCCCCCCCTGGGCCGCGCCCGTGCCCCTGGCCATGATTTGCGCCTCCCCGCTCTTGGACGCCCCCCTCTTGGCCGCCCCCGATGGTCGGGCAGCGAGTCGCGCCCAGACACAGACGCCCGGCGTCTCGAAGACATCGAGACCAGGGGCTTCAATGTGTTCGGCCTCGCGGGGCCCTTGCCAGGCCCGGGGACCGTCGGAGCACGACTCGGAATGGAATGCTGGTCCCAGGGAAGTGGTCGAGAGGTCGAGATCTCGGGGGCCCGTGCCTCGACGAGAAACGAGACGGCGGATGTCTGGCCTCGGCAGGCCCCCTCCGAAGTCCTGGGCGGTCCTTGGACCTTGGCGCCGCCTCTGGCGGAGACCCTGGGGCGCTCCGCGCCTCAGCCGGTTGGGGTGCGGAGACCGCTCCAGAGTGCTGAGGGGGCCTGCCTGAGGCCGGCCAGGGCTGCCTGGAGTGGAACTGTCCCCAGACATCCGGCGTCTCGATTGCTGTCGAGACACGGGCCCGGCCCCCGATCTCTCGACCTCTCGACCGCTTCCCAAGAGCCGGCCCCCAGGCCCCGTAAAGGCCCCGCGAGGCCGAACACGTTGAAGCCCCCAGTCTCGGTTTTGTCGCGACGCCGGATGTCTGGGTCTGGGCGCCACTCGCCGCCTGCGCATGCAGGAGGGGCCGGCGGGTGACCGCGGGCTGCTGCCCCCGGCCGCGGAATCGAGCTCGGAGCTGCGCGAGCGGGAGCGGAGGACCTCCCATCTGCTGGGGCTGTTCCTGCAGCATGCCCGGGGCCCGGCGCAGAGGCTGAGGCGCAGCTGCAGGCTCGGGGGCCCCCGAGCTCAGCATCGTGTAGGTAACATCCCCCAGCGGGCCAGGGCATCTCAGCCCCAACGCCCCACCACCCCAGTTGGGGAGATGCCCCTCGCAGCCCAGAGGGGACAGCCTTTTCACATAATTCACACGTTTCTGTAACTGTATGCATAGATATGTGTGTATGTATGTAGGTAGGTAAGTAGGTCGGTAGGTAGGTAGGTAGGTAGGTAGGTAGGAAGGTAGGTAGGTAGGTAGGTAGGTCGGTAGGTAGGTAGGTATGCATGCATGCATATATGGATGGATGGATCGATGGATGGGTGAATGGATGTATATATGCTTGTATGTATATATAAGTACATTGTTCAGATCCCGATATACCCCATCGGGGGTCAATCCGCCAGTGGGGCCCATGCCACGCCAGCGGGGATAAGGATCGGTTCAACGATGCTCACGAACGGTGTGGCGACCACACCGTGCGGTGAGTCAGTGGGGGTCCCATGATCTCCGACACGTGTTTCGTCCGATCCAGGCGTTGCTCTTCGCTTTCGGTCTCCGAGGCCCGTTGTCGGGCCCTACAGCTTGTGGATTAATCTGCTAGTGAGGATTCGACGAGGTGTGTCCGTCTAGTGATTGTGATTCGTTTAGGCCGCGGTGGAGGCGTGGCTCGCTCTAGCTGCCCCCTCATGCGTCGGTTTGGAGCCGGCACGGTGGGCGGCTGGAACACTCCCCCTCGTGACAAAAGTGGGGGGCTGGAGCCACCCCTTCTTGTCGGCATAATTAGGCGGCTGGAACCTGTTCTCTTGCAACAATTCGGGGCTGGAGCCTCACCCGCCTTAGGGCTCTGTCGGGGGGAGGGAGTGGGACGGGCCAGGGGCGGGGTCCCAGCATTGAATCCACGCCTCGCTCCCAAACTGGATCAGTCCGCGCGCTCGTCTGTCGGTCTGTCGATTGTCTTCGGTTGTGGTTTCGGTCAGTCGATCGGTCGTTCGGTCCGGTTGTCGGTCATCGGTCGGTCGGTCGTCGTCGACGGTCGCCGTCGTCTCGGTCGTCGTCGTCGGTCGTCGGTCGGTCGGTCGGTCTGTCGGTCGTCGTCGGTCGTCGTCGTCGGTCGTCGGTCGGTCGATCGGTCGTCGTCGGTCGTCCTCGTTTTGGTAGGTCGGTCGGTCGGTCGGTCGGTCTGGTCGTCGGTGTCGGTCGGTCGGCCGTTCGGTGGGTCGTCGTAGTCGTCGGTCGTCGTCGTCTCGGGCATATTCCCGCCTGCATCGCGCGTCCGCTGCTTTGCTGGAAGCGACGCCATGGCGCGTTTCGGAAAGTGCGGCGCTGGAGCCAAAGCGGCTATGGATGCAATGAGGTTGAGAACATGACGTTGGGCCCAAAACCTGCCCAAGACGGTGTGCTGCTCATGGAATTTCACTACCCACAAGAGTCCACTGACTGTAGGGCTGGATTGAAAAATCAGATCGGCGGATGTCAGAGATTCGGGGTGACCGCGCGGCTTTGGGACCCGGGGAGGTCTCTGAGGATGTCTCGGGCGACGGGCCTCCAGGGCACCAAAGCCGTCTGGTGACTGACCGTGCCACTCGAGCAGGGGATCGACTACAGAATTGAGCTTGGTCGTCGGATTTACGCAACATGCTCAGAATGCTTGTGGACCTGCGAACAGTCTACGCATCTGCCGCAGATCTTCCAGGAAAAATAGGGGAACCTCGATCCTGCCGTCGACCCCCTGCTCGGAGGGTCCCGGAGCCCGGCGTTGACAGACCGTGCTGTGAGCTCTCTTGGGGGGGGGGTTCAAGGTCGCCGCGCGGTCCGTCGCCCCACGGCGCGGGGACCCCCCCCCCCCGCGCGCAGGTGCCTGGTCGATGCGGGGGCGGCGGGCGGCGAGCCGCGGCTGAGGCAGGTGCCCCCGATCTTCGAGGCCGACGTGCGCCACCTGCAGGAGAGTTCGTTCGTAAAGCATGGGGGCCATGGCTCAGGCTGCGGTTTCGCTTGAAGGTTCGAGTCGATCGCTCCGCCACTCTTGAAATCCGCTGCCCCTCTAGAGGGCTGTCCTCCCGGACGCAAGCCGACAGCAGTGCAATGAAGAGGGCAAAAACTTGCAGTAGCCCCGGGCTCGGGTAAACGGGAGAGGACGAGGACGAGGACCTTCAAGCGATTTCGTTGCGGGGAAAAAAAATGGTTCAGGCTGCGGTTCCTAGCATGAGTTTGCCTATGGCCCTGGCAGGTCGGTCTGGGCGGCGTTCCCGGTCTGCCCAGCGACCTGTTGATGCGCGATTATGTTGTGGCACCCGTGGGTCTTGGGCGAAGGGAAGCAGCATGGAAGCCTTGTATACCGTCGGAAGTCTGTATTTAGGGTGCGCTGGCGTCGAATAGCGTCTGGTGATAGATGGGATAGCGACGACGTAGGTAGTGTCGACGAGCGTCGAATTAGCGTCTATTTAGCGTCGACTAGCGTCGATTTAGCGTCGAGTGGCAAGAGCCAGCGAGATGATATGGGAGGCTCCAATGATCTGCCGCAGAAGGATGGCCTCGTCAAGATGGTGGACCTGCTGCGCTACCTCGCGGACGTGCACGACGCCATGGGCCGCCAGGCCACGCCCAGCACCAGTGCCGCCTCTGAGCCCCCCTCGGAGCAGGCCCTGGCCGGGGCCTCCATAGCATCGAAGCTGGAGGACACGGTCTCCTACGCCGCCAATTGGCTGAGGCTTGGCATAGCCTAGCGTAGCAGCCGTCGGAATTCTCAGCAGACGCGTTTGTTTGTTTAGGTCTGTTTAGGGAGGTACCGAATTCTCTGCGGCTCCTGCTTGGGGAGGGCGCATGCCGACGGCTGCGCTGCGCCCCATCGCCGGGACCACTCGGAGCTTGACGGGGCGCTTGGGTCGGGTTGCTCGCATTTGTTGCCCGAGCGGAAGCCCCAAGGGCCCCCCGCCTCACCCTTCCATCTCCTGTTCACCCCGCCTCCTCTCCGCCTCCTCCTCCTCCTCCTCCTTTCTTCTCCCTGGTCCGCCTTCCTCGTTCATTCCCCTCTCCTCTCCCTCCCTTCTCCTCCTCGCGGGAGTCGGAGCAGGTGTCGCGGCTGGCGATTCTCTCCGCGCAGTCGAGACGGCCTGGTCCTCCTTGCAAGCACTGGGTCGCAATCGCGTTGCACGCGCATGCCATGTGCAGAAACTGCAGGTGTAAATTGTGATGCTCCAGCGCCCTCCTCGGCACGGCCACGAATGATGCCCCCAAAGTGTAGATCATGTGGGGGGGCAGCACTTCTCCGTCCCATCTTGTCTTCATGAGCACAGAGCCGAAACTGCGTTCCACGTGCGTGCCATAACCAGATGTTGTAGATGTAAATGATGCTGGCGACGGAGCTGGCGTCGGTGCTGGTGTAGGTGACGGCGATGCTGCTGGCCGTCGTCTCCAGAGTAACAAGTACAAAAGGCAGCGGGATATCTACACCTGGTGCTACTAGAATTCCCGTTCGAGCCAGAGGACACCCTGGAATTCCCGGCGCGGAGGACCCCCTGGAATTCCCGGCAATGCGGGCGCAGGGCTCAAAAGGCAGCGGGATATCTACAATTGGTGCTACTAGACTGCCCGTTCGAGTAGCCACCATTCGAGTGCTTGGTGCGCAAGCGTCATATAGAGGTTCACCGACGGCGGAATAGGGGCATCCACCACCTATTTTGCACAGGAAGGCGCTGGCGTTGGTGCTGGCCTCGATGCTGGCGACGGTGCTGGCGTCCGTGCTGACGTAGACGCAGGCGTCGGTGCCGGCGTACGCGTTGGCGTCGGTACTGGCCTCGGTGCTGGCGTCGGTGCCGGCGTCGATGCTGATGTCAACGATGATATCGGAGCTGATAAAGTCGGTGGCGTAAGCGCCGGCGCAGGTGCCGACGTTCGTGCTGGCGTCGGTGCTGCCGCGGGCATTCGTGCTGGCGTCGGTGCTGCTGTAGGCGTCGGCGTTGATGCTGGCGTCGGTGGTGGCATCGGCGCTGGTGTTAGGCGCTGACGTTGGTGCTGACGCAGGCGCCTGGCGTTCGTAGGCGCAGGCGTGGATGCTGGCACAGCCGCTGGCGATGGTGCCGGCGTAGTCGCTGGCGTCGGTGCTGTCGCCGGTGCTGTCGCCGGTGCTGGTGTAGGCGCTGGCGGTCATGCGTGCCGTCGTAGGCGCAGGCGTTGGTGCCTTCGTCGGCGCTGGCATCGGCGCTGGTGTGGGCGCCGGCGTTGGTGCCAGCCCTGGAACTGCTGGACGTGGCGGTAGAGTGCGTCGCGCCGCCGGTATACAAACGATGGATGCATGTCACGGACTCGGTGCGCGGAGACTCGCGGCAAGATAGGCTGGTACAACCACGCCCGCCAGCTCCAACGCCCAGCTGGTACGCCACGCCCGCCGTCACCCTCTGTCGCCAGCATCATCACCTACGCGTGAGGGCTTCGAGGATTTGGTATTGTCTTATGGGGTGGTGGCATGGCCACCCACAAGGACCTCGTGCCCATGTCCTCCGGACTCGTCCCCTGAGCTCTGCCTGAGCAGCCCGTGCCGCTGCCCCAGCCATAGGATATCGCAGCTAGGGCCCGCTTCGTTTGGGCTGCATTGGAGCCTCTCCGTTTCCCTCTTTCTCCGCCGCCCTCGCTTCGATCACAGCTTTGCATTGCATGCTAGTCTCTGGCTAGTTGTTTTACTTTCACTGGCGCTGGTCCCTGTCTCGCGGGGCGGCGCTCACCGCCTTGGAGGCGACAGGGGCGGTTTGCTCTCAGAGCTTCCCGACCCCTGCTCCCTCCAAGTCCGGCTCCACACTGCTCGTTATACTTGCCTGGCCGTTCGCCCTTACAGCTATCATATGTTCAGATCTTGCCATCTAGCATGCTCGTGTGGGACCTTGTGCGTCGTCAGTTCAAGGCTGGATTGCGCACGCACGAGTTCGTCGCTATTCACTCCTCCCCCTGCTCGGCTCCCTCCTTTTCCTCTCCTTCTCCGCCCTCTGCCTCCCCCTCCCCTTCTCTGTTGTTTTGTAGGTGGGTCCGAGGCTTTGCTTAGGATCCTTCGTCCGCCCCCTAGCGGGGTCGGGACTGCCCTCCCCGTCTTTCCTCTTTCTCTTTTGCTTCCTCTTCTTCCTCTTCTCTCTTCCTCCCTCCTCCTCCTCCTTCTCCTCCTCCGCTGCTCTGGTCGAGAGGGTTCATTTGAAGGAAGCCTCTGCAGGCGAGTAGTTGAGGTAGTTTGGAGTCTTAGGGTCGCCTTGGTGGCGGCCACAATTTGGAGGATTCGTTTGAAGGAAGCCTCTGCATGCATGTCGTTGAAGTAGTTCGAACTCTTAAGGTCTGTGTGGCTGTGAGGAGTGTGTGGCGGCATCCTTGTTTCGCACGCACACGCGGAGAGTCTAATCGACACGATCGCTTTGCACCGGAAGAAAAGATATTGAAGATGTAAATACGTCTTTCGTTACGACCCTAGCTTCGACTCCCGCGCTGCTTGCCGACCCTGCGCCAGCTCCGAGTAACATGCCGGTTCGCACTCTGGCTCCTGCTCTCGCTCCGACTCCCATCCCGACTGCCGTCCCAGTGCTGGCTCCGAAGCCTGCTCCTGCTCTTGTTCCGACCCCCAGCTTGATCGCCGCCACGACGCCCGCTCCAGCAGGCACGTCCTCCGACAGACACGATGGCCCGAATCGAGCCCTGACTCCAATCCCGATCGCCGCACCTACAGTCAACCCGCATAGCAAACATGGGCAACTTTCCCAATGGTGCCCCTTGCATCCTTGCCCCTTCGGTCCACCATGAGCGACCTTCGCTGGCCAGCCTCGATCGATAAATGTTCACATGGGCCTCCAATCGGGCGAAGAGAACTATGCACATGCACCGATCCTGGCAAGGCCCACCCTTGACCCAGGATCGGTGCATATGCCTTCCTGGCCAAGGCAGGAGGGCGTATGCACCGAATTTGGGCTCAGGATGGGCCTGGCCAGGATCGGTGTATGTGCATAGTTCTTTTTCCTCTAATGGGCCTCCAAGGCCCTTGCATCCTTACCGCGCATCCTGGTGATACGGGATGACTGTGCGCTGGCACCGGCGATGGCCTCGACATCCAGCTCCCGCAGCCCGCCTCGGCGGCCGCTCCGGCGCCCCGCCGCGCCACGGGCAGGCTTCCACGGCAGGTCCACTCCGGGACCCCCCTCGCGACCACGACCCACTCCGGCAGCGACGCCGACGCTGGCAGTCACCGCCCATCAAACCACCCCAGCCCAACCCGAAGGCCCCGATTTACCCTTCATTTCCAGTGGGAGGTGGGGTCGGGGAACATGGAGAAAACACATGTATGAAGCCCGTACCCCCCCCCCCCCCCAACCCGAAATTCGGGCCTTCGGGTTGGGTTGGGGGGGTCTGGGTAGGTAGCCCGGCGAATCGAACAGACTGGGGGGGGGCAGCAGCGCCAGACGAGGGCCGCCCGGTCAGCCAGCGAACAAGCACTACGTGGCCATGGCCCCCGACTCGGGGAGCAGGCGCTGCCCCATGCAGTTGCGTCTCTGGTTGCTTCTGAGAACCCAGGTAGTGCCATTGTTATGTCGGGCCTGTCCCTTTACAGGACGAATATTCAAAAATAGTCAAAAATAGTCAGGGGGCGATTTTTTGAATATTCTTTCACCATTTGGGAGTATTTGTTGAGTATTTTGTATTGTTCGTCCAAAATCCCCCTGTATGGGGGACAGGCCCGACTCAATGCGATTGGTGGTGAGCCTGGGGCGGACAAATCTGCCCCTCTCACGCCATCTACATGGCGCGGGGCAGCCAGACTGGCAGGAGCAGCAACGCGCGGTGACGTACGACGGAGGGCCGCGCTCCGATTCGCGCATCCACCGGTAAGGGGTACGACGTGAGCCAGCAGCACTTCGCTGAACAGCCGGATGAGCACAAACAACACGGTTGGTTGCAGCACGACGGGTTACATTTACCATTTGTTGTAACGCTTCTGCACGCGACTACCACCACCATTACCACTGCAACTTGCAACCGCTACCACAGCCGCTACCACTTAACCCACCCCTGCCACTGCCGTTCGCATGATCAGGACACTTCTTCTAGCACTACCTTGCCTCTACGTCGCAGATGGACTTCGGGCCTCAGAGCGACATTCACTGGGGAAGCCATTCGCACATTGACCTTGGTCTCATAGTGACGCCAGTTACGTTGATGACCCGTTTGATGACTCCTACATCCACTAATTTGTGTCTCGACGGGCGCTAATAGCATGACCCAGAATAACAACAGGACACGACATTCACCAGCAACATGACGATGATCGGCGCGACGTGCTCCGGCGGTACGAGACTGCACTTCACGACGGATTGCAACACCCACGTTTCTGACACCCGTAAGTCGGAGCGCGCGGGTTCGCCAGCAGCACCACATTTAGCAACGCGATGTTGACAACACAACACAGGAATGCGTCCTGCCTAAGTAGATGGGTTTTCTGTTGTATTGGGTCGGTGTCTGCTCTCTATGGGGTGCTGTCCGTGCCATTCACGTGGGCTGGGACTTCACGTGTTGATTGAAGTTGCGCGTGTTGTAGAACGCGAGGGCGATGTGTGTCGCATCCCATTCCTCCTCGTCGCCATCGTCGTCTCTCGTTCCAGTGCCGCTTTTTGCGCCTCCCTTGCGTGTTAGGCGTTAGGTGCTTCGGACTTGTATGACCCATGCTTTAGGTATCGCAGGCGGGCTCTGTGCCCAGTTCGGGGCGCCCGTCAACTCGGGTGACGTCGCACCTCCGTTTTCCGCAGGGGTGAACGCCTTCAGTGGCTTCGTTGCACCTCGGACGTCTTACAGTGGGGTCCGTACCAAGAAACATCTGCTTGCCTCCAGGGTGCCCTGGGTTTCTTGGGTTTCGATGGTTTATCAAAGGAAATCGTGACGACCCCACACAAAAAAATCGATGGACGTTCTGGGGTCTCGGGGTTGGGTTTCTTGCCGGGCCCCCACTGTACACACACACACACACACACAAATCCTCCGATGGTCCTTGCACCGACGCTTCGTGCTGGTCGAGTTTGGTTGGCCCACCAGTGAAGCCCGTGGCTGTGACCTGCCGTCCACTCAATGCTCCCTGTCCTGCGCCCCGTCCTCTCCTTTTCCTCTGCGCGGCTGCCGTAGGGTAAACTGGATTGTTTTTGTTCTTAACATGCTGTACGAGCCAGCTCACTGCACTTTGGCGTCCTCTGTCTCCCTCATCTCCCCTCCCCTTTCGTCCCCTCGGGGGTCCCCGTGTGCGCTTTTTCTTTCTGTGAGTTGCCGTTGGGGCCGCAGGTGATCTCCGCACGGCGCCGTGACCCTTTCTCCTCCGTGTCCTCGTCCTTGCCCTCCTACCTCACGTGGTGTCGGATCGTAGGATTGGCCGCTTGGGACCGCCAGGAGCTTCAGCGCAACATCACTTGCCGCTTTCGCGCGTCGGGGTACGCTCCTGTTCCTCCGCTTCCCCTCCCTTCTTGTCCCTGTTCATGCACGGGGGGATTATTGTGCATCGCGTTCGAGGCGTTCGGGTCGATATTGCCAAAGCGCACAGCGAGCGAACCTTCAGGTGATTTCGCTGTAGGAGAAAAATCATCGCCTTCCCTTCTCCTCCTCGTCTTCCCTATCCTGCCTCTCATTCTCCCTGTCCCTTCCCCTCTTTCCTCCTCCCTCCTCGCTCCTCGTTTTTCCTCCCTCGTCCTCCCCCCTCCCCCCCTCGTACTAACAGAATGTCCGCGCTCACTCAGGAGGTCGAGTCGTTCCCCTCCACTGTCGCCTCCTCTTCTGGCTCTCCTCCTCCTCCTTTTCCTCCTCCTCCTCCTCCTCCTCCTCCCCCTCCTCCTCCTCCTCCTCCTCCTCCTCCTCTTCCTCCTCCTCCTCCTCCTTCCTCCTCCTCCTCCTCTTCCTTCCCCTCCTCCTCCTCCTCCTCCTCCTCCTCCTCCTCCTCCTCCTCCTCCTCCTCCTCCACCCTCTCCTCACGTTCTCCTGCTCCTCGCCCTGTCCCCCTACAGTACCAGATCTGCAACCAGCCTGCCGGCAGGTGCCCCACGGAAGTTTCTTTTCGCCGATGGGAGTCCCCGGGGGGGGGCCGACAGAAGCCCTGGGGCAGCTCAAACCCCTCTCAAATCTTGACGAAGAATGTGCCCCAGGGTTCCTTATGGCAAGATGTCTGACCGTATGTGTCAATTATGCCCTCGTCCGCCTTAGAACGGTCCGTGCAGGAGACTCCGGAATCCCATGGCTGTCCGCACAAGTTTTTCTCGAGTACCGCCTTCAAATATGGGAAAGCTTGTGCCCCTGGTGACAAAGTTGTACCCAGCCTCGGGGGCCGCAGCAATACACTACAGTCCTTCTCCTCCTCTCTTGATTGCCCCTCCTCCTTCTTTGGCCTCATCCTCCGTCCTCCTCATCTGCCCCTCCTCCTCGTCCTCCCCCTCCTCCTTCTCCTCGCTGCGTCTCCTAACATGTTCTCCTCATCCTCCGCCGCATGCTCCTTCTCTTTCTTCTGCTGCTTCTCCCGCTTTCCTTCTATTCCTCTCCCCATGCTTGTCGTCCTTGTTTCCCTTCGGCATGCTGACACACCCAATCTCTGCCAACCCCCCTTCCCCCTCGCACTCTAGCGCCAGGACTTGGCCGCGGTACAATTAATCAACGGCCTGCCGAATGCCGTTCGGAACGAGTGCGTTTTTTTGTGCCCCATCGCCAGGGGCAATTTCGGCAGCATGTTCTGCGCATGTGCCAGCATCGGCGAGGTGGCGAGCACGTGTCAGAAAACACAATTCTGTCTCGTTAGTTTGTTCTGCGCATGATGGTGCCATGTCTTTCACGAAACAAGGCGGTCATCAAAATCACAACCGCCATTTCCAGGTTCGCAACATCGCAAAACTGGAGTTGCTGACCTGGGAAGGGTTGAGCGTCCCCCCAGCGCTCAGGTCTTGCACGCAGAAGATGCGTACGTTGTCAGTAGGTGGTCCTGTCTCTTCACACTTCAACCTTCAGTCATTGGCTATATTTTCAGCTGTGCCTATAGCTTGTCTTATCCTGTTGTTGTTGTTGCGTGGCCCGCCTCACCAGTGTTATGCTCACGAAGGGTAGCGACGATGCTAGGACATGCTGACGCTCGCAATGTCGACCAATATGACCTTTCTGGTGTGCAACTCTACGTTGGTTTTGTCGTTATCCTTTCATGCTCTCCTCCTTGTCCGCCCTTCTGATGTCTCTCTCGATCCTCGGTCCTTCTCCGCCGCTTCATTCCTTTTACTTATGCATAGCTCCTCCCTGTCGCAACCCGAGACCACTTAGAAGAGTTTCACGGATTGAGGGCGGCTGGAGTTCAACATGTGGTTCTCGTTTTGGCGTTGCGCACATTCGTTGTAAAATAGCCAGAGGTTCATTGATTGAGGGCGATTCCTTTTCAAGATGTGTTTCTCGCCTTGGCGTCTCGCCCTTTCATGTTTTTCTGTCAGCGTTCACGGGTTCAGGGCGGTTCTTTTTCAAATTGTGGTTCTCGTTTCAGTGCCACGCACATGCGTCTCACTTGCCTGCAAGTGTTTCTCGGAATGGTTAACGCACCAGAAATGGTGTACCAGCAATGGTGTTCGGGATTCAGGATTGCCAGGGCGAAGCAGTTACGTTGATTCGCGGTGTTGAAGTCTCAGGAATGATGCTCTGGCACGGTTCAGGATCGTCAAGACGCAACAGTCAGGTTGACCCGTGGTGTTGGAGTCCATAGAATGGTTTTTGGCGCGCTTCAGGATCTTCAACCGGCTGTCTCCCCGCGGGGCATTTCCTTCAGCAGGAATGAATCTTTCTAGGGGCTTGTGAAGAGGGAGCGTGGAGGGAAGGTTTGATACATCATCGTTGGTGGGTATTGGGTTTACATTGGTCCTCCTCCTCTTCCTCCTCGTCATCCTCCCTCTGCCCGTCTCCCGTGCCCGCCCTCCTCCTCCTTTTCCTCCTCCTTTTCCTTTTCCTCCTCCTCCTCCTGGTCATCCTCCCTCTGTCCGTCTCCCCTTCCCGCCCTCCTCCTCCTCCTTTTTCTCCTCCTCCTCCTCCTCCTGCTCCTCCTCCTCCTCCTCCTCCTATTCCTCCTCCTCCTCCTCCTCCTCCTCCTCCTCCGTCTGCTTCTCCATCATCGGCGACATCCTCCGCCTCCACCTCCCGCCTCCCCCACACCCATCCATTGTCCCCCTTTTTCTCCCCGTTCCCCCTCAGCCATCCCTCATCACCCCTCCCCTCCCCGCTCCCCCTTCACCCATCCCTTATCCCCGTTCCGTTCCCCGCTCCCCCATCCCCGCTCCTCCTTCCCTATTGGTGAGAGGAGATGAGGAGGAGGAGGAGGAGGAGGAGGAGGAGGAGGAGGAGGAGGCACAGTTGGACCTGCAGCAGGACCCTCCCGCTTCGCATCTGAGCCCGATGATTCGACATGGTTGTTTCTCCTTCACTTGTGACGGAGCATCGGCGCTGCGGCTCTGCCTCGACACAAGTGTGCACAGCCGAAGGAGCAGAGGAGGGGGAGCAGGGAGAGAAGCAACAGTGACGAGGAGGGGAAGAAGAAGAGGGAGGGGGAGACCAGGACGGAGAAGGAGGAGGAGGAGGAGGAGGAAGAGGAGGAGGAGAAGGAGGAGGAGGAGGAGGAGAGAAGGGAGATACGGCAGATACGGGAGATTATAGCACATTTCTGGCCCGGGAGCAGGATAGACGGAGGAGGAAAACGGAGGGGAAGGGGAAGGGAAAGGACAGGAGGGGAAGGAGGAGGAGGAGGAGTGGAGGAGAGGAAGAGGAGGATGGGGAAGGAGGAGGATAGGATAGGAGGAGAAGGAGGAGGAGGAGGAGGAGGAGGAGGAGGAGGGAAGTGGGAAGCAGGAGGGGGAGGAAGGAGGACTCAGGAGCGGGAGACGGTAGGAGGACAGGATGGGGTCCAGGATGGGGAGAGAGGGAGTCTGGGGAGAGACGAGGAGGGTTAGGAGGGTAGGAGGGAGGAGAGAGGAGGAGGAGGGAGGAAGGAGGAGGAGGAATAGAAGGGGAGGAGGAGAGAAGGAGGATGAGGGATGAGGGGGATTGAGGAGGAGGAAGGAGGAGGAGGAGGAGGACGAGGAGGAGTGTGGAGGGAGGGAGGAGGAGGAGGAGGAGGAGGAGGAGAAGGAGGAGAAGGAGGAGGATCTCGTGGCGGAGGGCCCTCGCTAGATCTCCCCCCTGCCCGTCGCTGCGACCGCCGAGGTTAGCCTCCAGGAGATCCGTCCAGCCGACGGCGACGGTGCTGGCGACGGTGCGCGTCCAGGCGCCGCACCGCGACGGGGGTGGCTCGGGCAGGCGCCAGGCTGAGCCGCTGCAGGGCGCTCTTGGGACGCCCTGCTGCTGACTGGCTCCCCCGGCCCGACAGCCCCCGGCCCCCCAAGAGACATCGGCTACACGTTAGAGTGATCTTTCGCCAGAGTGCCCTGTGGTGTGGGCCCGCTGGGGTCCCCCGATCGCGAGAGCGGCGGCTTGCGCGCGCGGGTTTGGCTACCCCGCCCTCTCGCCTCCTCGCAGCCGTGCACCAAAGGTCTCTCTCGCCTGGGGTCACTCTTGCGTGTAGCCGGAGAGAGCCCCGGGATCCGACACCCCATCGGGGGTGCAGGCGTGCTGGGATGCCAGACGGGGCCACCGCTCGACCATGTAGCTCTCGAATCTGAACTTCTGGCGCGCCCCAGAAGGGGACGTGGGATGCCTGCCTTGTTGTCGCAGGCGGTTTGGCGCCCCAGTCCCCGAGCTCCCCCCCTAAAGAACTGGCCGCTGAAAAAAGAGGAGGTTGGCAGCTCGGGATACACCCCCCGGGGGATATCCCGCACCCTCGTCGAGGATGGAGACTCCCCGTCCCAGTGTAAACACTGCCCAGCGGCGCGCCGAGGGGGGGAGCGAGAGGGGGCAGGCTTTCCCAGAAGGCGGCGGGGCTTTCCAGAAACCCTTCCGAAAAGCCGTCTGTGCCTTCGGCGACGCCAAAGGCGCGCCGAGGGGGGAAGCGAGAGGGGCCAGGCTTTCCCAGCAGGCGGCGGGGCTTTCCAGAAGCCCTTCTGAGAAGCCCTCCTGTGTCTTCGGCGACGGCCTGGACATCTTCGCCGAAGCCCTTCCGAGAAGCCCCTCTGTGTCTTCGGCGACGGCCTGGACATCTTCGCAGAAGCCCTGCCGAGAAGCCCTGCCGAGAAGCCCCTCTGTTTCTTCGGCGACGGCCTGGAAGTCGTCGCAGAAGGCCGGATGCCTGCTGGGCCTTCCGAGCCCGGCGAGCCCCCCGCCTTCCCCGCTGGGCGCGCCGCCGCGCGTGCCCCTCTCTGCAGATCGGTTCTGCAGCGTGCCGCAGCTCGTTTCGTCCCCCTCTTCCTCTGCGTCCGCTGCGGGGATTCCTGGGGGCCTCTTGGAAGCTCCGGGGCGGGGCGACCTCTGGGGAAACTGTTCGAGGCTCCCGGGGGCTGCCTGGGGCCCGCCGAAGGGTGCTCTCGGCAGAGAGCCATATGTAGGAGCCTGGCATGTCCTCGCAGCTCCGCCTTTAGAGGGCGTTGGCGTGCGGTAGGCGCCTGGTAGCCGAGGAGAACGCGCAGACTTCGCGTCGACTCACATCGATGAGCGTCGACTCGCAAGAACCAGCAAGATGGCATGGGAGGCCCCCGTGAGTTGCCGCAGAAGGTTCTTGCTTCTCCATACATGCCAGGGGCTCCAGGACCACTCCGGAGCCACACAGAGAGGCAGGAGCTTGTGGCGCAGGGGATCGCCCGCATGCGCATACCTCGGCTGCCGCACCCGAGTCCTCATCGTCCTGCTCGTCTTCCGACCCCTCCTCGACCTGCCCGGAGGGGAAGGCGGCATGAGGAAGTCGGGCGTTGCGTAGTTGGGGCGTAGTGGGGGGCAATCAAATGGGGGGGGGGTGAGAAAGGCGCACCGAGTGTGCTCTAAAGGACCCCCCTTGCGGCCCAAAAGGGGCACGAAAGGTGCACTCTTCTCTCCCTCATCCATGGCCCTCCCATTGATGAAGTGACGCCCCTCGTCGTCTTCCGTTCCCTCCTCGTCCAGTTCGGAGGGGAAGGCGGCAGCTTGAAGGAGAGAGAGAAGAGGAGAGCGCAGGAAGAGGTAGCAGGAGGAGGACGGAGCAGGAGGCACAATGAAGAAGGAGGAGGAGGAGGAGGAGGAGGAGGAGGAGGAGGAGGAGCGGAGGAGAGTAGGAGGAGGAGGAGGACGGAGGAGGAAAGAGGAGGAGCTGTAGGATGATGAGCTGGAGCCAGAGGGGCAGAGGACCAGAGGAGCTCCCAATAGGCGCACCCCGATGCGACGCCGACGCCCACGACGCCCACGACGGCGACGAGGACGATGAGGACGACGCCGACGACGGCGACGGCGACGACGAGGAGGATCCAGGCATCGGACGACGTGAACTTTCAATCCGCGCCCTCACACCTTCCGACCCCTCTCCCGGGGCCCGTTTTTCGTCCCGGATCCGCTCTTGATGGGAGGAGGAGGAGGAGGAGGAGAAGAAGGAGGAGGAGGAGGAGGAGGAGGAGGAAGAGGAGGGGGAGGACCCGGAGGCCGATCTCAAAGAAGAGCACACCCGGGATCGGACGAGTCGGCGGCGAGCCCAGCGGGGAAGTGAGAGCGAGGAGGGATTCGCCGAAGACGGCGGGCTTCTCAGAAGCCCCCTGGTCCTCGGCGAGGCCCCGCGGGACTTCTTCTCCAAAGCCGCAGAGGCGGCTTCTCCGAAGGCCGGAGATGCTCTGGGAAGCCCCGCCGCCTTCTGAGGAGGCCCTCCCCCCTCGCACCCTTCCCCCCTGGGCTAACGTCGGGCTTGTCCCTCGACAGCAGGAATGGTCAACAATAGTCCAAAAATATCCTGGGGACCATTTGTCCACTACATTTTGGCTATGTCTGATTCTGCCTTCTTTTTCGTCCAAAACCCGCCTGCACGAGGACATGCCCGACCTGAGCCTGGGCTCTCCGCCGAAACAACGCACAGCGACGCGGAGACCCGGCGACGGCGCCGGCCCGCAGGCGCAGAGGAGCTGGAGGCGGCGTGCGCCGCCTGCCGGCAGCCGCCGGCAGAGGGCGCCGCGGGCGGCAAGAAGGCGAGGGCGGAGACGGTCGCCGCCGACCTCGAGACCCTATGGCTCCGCCTGGGGGGGGGGGAGAGAACCTGCCCGTGCTGTGTGGTAGGTGTCGGCTTGGTGGGGGTCAGGAACAGTACGTAAGCTCAATTCTTTGGATGCTCCTTGCTCAAGGCCGTAGTGGTCTCCAATGTGTGTGTGTGTGCGTGTGTGTGTGTGTGTGTGTGTGTGTGTGTGTGTGTCTGTGTGTGTATGTGTCTGTGCGTCCTTCTTTGCTTGTCCTTGGTGAGTGCTTGGGGGTGTTTTCGCCCAGGAACATATTTTTGTGCATGAGATTGCTTAATCAGTTTGCCCTTCGCCGACTCTCACCACCCACCAAGCCACCCAAAGTCAACCCGAAGGCCTCAATCTGCCATCCATTTCCATTGGGTGGGGGTCGGGAAACATGGAATTCGCCTGGCGAAGGAAACCCAAACCATATGCATCTGTGGATACCGCAATCATGAATATCATCTTCGCCCGCGCTCCCTATGGGGCCACGAACCACGCGAGGGGCGTGCCGATATGCGTGGCGGGGCACACAACGCGAGCGAAGCCGATAGGTCAGTGTGCGAGAAACTGAGAGCGAGTGAGTCTGATTGTAGATGAATCTGCGCGCGCGTGCGTCTACGTGCATAGATGTCGACGCCCATGCCGGCGCGCCTCTCACGAGGATCG